GTAGGGAAACTGAGGCTTGGGAGAGGACGTGACTGGTCCCACCTCACCCAGCTACCCTGTGATCCAGCTGGGGTTAGAACAGCATGATGCTGGATCTTAGTGATGTGTTCAGTCCTCTCACCCTTGTTCCTTGGTTATGGAGACTTTGGATAAGAAATGAGGGCAGAGATTGAGATCTAGTATTTGTTCACTGTGAGATTCTGGCAATTTTTAGGTCAGATTTTCCTCAGCTGCCAGGATGAGTCAGCAGGACAGTGACCATCCCTCATTCATATCCACCACTTTGCAAAGGGCCAGCATGCACTTTGCAGGCCATTCAAGATCTCCTTAACCCTTGATGTGGGGTCCTGACATGGGATCTGAAAGGTGCACATATTTTCTGCCCTGTGGGGTCAGCCATTCACAAATTTAATTCCTCCCAAATTCTCTCTGTTTGTTGCTTTATGGTATCTTCCAGAGGCCAGCCACCTCTGGCCCCTTCATGCTAGGTGCCGTACATAGCAAAGAGCAGCTCCTACTCCTATGCCAACTGATTTCCATGGAGTTAACAGGCATGCTTCTCTCTGTCATTGCCGCTGTCCCTATTTTAGCTTTCCGACGTTGCCAGCTTGAAGAGTGCAATGTCCCAGCTCCCCGCCCCCCCAACACACACATTCAAATCTTTAATTAGCACCTTCGGAGCTTAACAAACCTCAATGGCAAAATCAAAGGGCCCCAATTCGCTTCTCTCCTCCACCTGGTATAAATCGGGAGCTGTGCATCTGATGTCAACAGAGACGTGCTGATGTAAGCGCGAGATGAATTGGGCCCAGTGTGTTTACTGACATGGCCTATTTAAACCCCTAATTTGAGGCCACGTATGCCATTGACAATCTGCTTGTGTTGCTGATGTTGCCAAGCTTTGTCAAGTTTGTACTGCAAGCCAGACTCTGTGCAGGAATGGGGCTGCTCCAGCTGGACAGAGAAATGCCTAGAGAAAGGGGAATCACCCCCTCTCACTTGCCCCTGTCACCAGGGATCTCAGAGTGCTTTGCAGGATATCTGTAGATTATGCTTTACCCTCTCCCTATGATGTGGGTAAAGGGTGTTTGCCCCTGTTGCAGACAGGAAAAGCAAGGCACCGAGAGGGGCATGATGGGTGGATAGTGGGGGACAAGGGGTGGATTTAGAGAGCACGTTCTCATTTGGAAGCTTCTCCTTCTCTGTCTTACATAACACGCATGCAGTCACTTGCACACAAGTGTGCACACATACGTGCATGCAGTCATTTGCACATGCATGTGCACACATGCATACACTCACCTGTATGCATGCAGTCATGGCCTTATGCCTCCATATGGACACACACATACACACAGTCCTTTGCATGTGAGTGCATGCACACATACATACAACTTGCGTGCATGTGCGCAGTCGCATGCATCCATATAAAGTCACACACAGAGCTTTCCTCTGATGCACTTTAAAGCGTGTGCATGCACACCCACCCACCCACACACACACTCTCAGAATTACTTACACACCACAACCCTGCAGACACGTCCTGTACTGTACATGGCAAATTCTCCCCTCTGCTTCCTGTGCTCTGACCTATTTGCTATTGTTCTCTCCTGTCTCCGTGCCCTGTGAGGAGTTTGGCAGGATCCGGACCCTGTTCTCCTTCCCACGTGTTCCCAGCTCTCGGCTTTGTTCTGCCGCTGCCTTCAAAGGCACTTTGACTCCTTTACAGCCCCCTCCTGTGAATAGGGAATGGCCCTGCTGAGATCCACAGCCCTATGTAAGGGGGAATGAGGCAGAGCAGGGGGAGCCTTATGTCTTGGGTTTCTGCCACTTGAGTAACCCAGAGAGGCGACTGGCTGGGAGAGGGCACACGCTGGCTGATCCTTGGCAAGCCCAGGCCATACAAGGGCTTGCCCAGGACCAGACCTCTTTACAGAGCCCAGGAGGCTGGATTCTCAGTTGCTGTCGACCCATGTAATGCCAGGGCAGCCAGGCCTGTTTCTACCACCTGAGAGGGGGGCCCTGAATCTTAGAATTTCAGATCCATGGGATGAGATCTGCAGTGGCCAGGGTATCACCTCACTCCTCTTCTAACATTGTGGGGTTTCTCTGGGGCCGTTGTGCCCCATCCTGTGCATGTTGGTGATTCACAGCAACTCATGTATGATGCCTTTGTACCTTTAAAGTGACCTCTCCAACAAGCTGTGGTCATCAGGGAAGTATGACCTGTGTTCTATGAGCCCTCCTACCCCTTGAATCTCCCTGATTGGAGATCCCCTTCCCAAGACCAGTACTGTTAGGGGCATGTCAGAGGCAGGCCAAGGCCCAGGTGGGCCCAGGGCAGAAGGAGCCATGGTCAGTGTTCCTCTGTTCCTAGCAGTCTCCTCAGGGCATCTAGCCTTGTCCAGAAGCCAGAGCAAGCCCCAGCAGCCACAGGCTTGGAGATATGCATTGCTGTTCCCCTCCCCCATCCCCTGTGCCAGCCTCGGCACCAGTGCAGGACTGAATTGGGATCCCTGGCAGCAGTGGGGGGGGGGGCAAGGGTTAGCCTCATGGCTTTTTCTAGCACAGCAGCTGCCATATTGGTCTCTCCTTGGCTGGCTTCAGTGTGCCCCAGTCAGCCAGAGCCTAAGAGCAGTACTATGATGCCAAGGGCTGTCTCTCTACCAGCTGATCCTTGGCCATGCTCCCACCCTCAGGTTCCATGGCCAGAGGCTGAGGCCACAGGGCTGGGCACACATGCCACTTTCAAGGCTGGCGGAGCCCTCTTTCCCCCTTTTCTTTGCCATCCTCTCTCTCTTCTCATGAGCTTACAGCCAGCATGTTCCCTGCTGAGCAAAGAACCAGCCCCTCCCAACCTCCTCCCTCCCCTTCAGGGCATGTTCAGAAGCTCAGGCAGCCAGGATAGCCTCATGGTTAGCTACCATGAGTGGAGGAGGCTGAAATGTGCCCCCCCATATCTCTTCACACCACCTCCATCTTCTCTCAGCCAGAATGAAGGCAAGGGACCCTAGAGCACTATTCTGCTTGTGAGCATCTGCCCTGCTTGACTCACAGCCCCAAAGTGTAAAAGGGACAGGTCATCAGGTCTTTGTCTGGGCCAAATATGGACTGCCCTGGGCAAAATGAGCACCGGGCTGGGAGTTTGTCCCTTGAGCTGCATGGGAAGTGCTGATTCATGCTGCACCATCTCTTAGGATCCAAAAAAGATCCATAAGAAACCAAGCAGCTGACTCCTACTTGCACTAGCCAAGAATAGAACCCAGGAGTCCTTGTATTCATTTTGCCTGCTCTGAACACAAGGCCAGCTTCTTCCATGCTGGCCTTTGCCCAGAAACCTGACTTTAACCAAGAGCCAGGCAGACACCCCAGGTGTCCTTCCTCCCAGTTTACCTGTTAGCCCCCAAATCCATCTTTCTGCTGGGCTCAGAAGCTACAGTACTTACATGTCAGACTCCTGTTTCCAGATGGCTGTAACTGCCTCTAAAAATGACCCCCTTAGAGCTAAACTTTCTCAACCCGGAGGTGAAAAGAAAATTGAATACTGGGGGAGGGGGCGGAAATCAAATCAGTTCTGTTTGCAAGAAAAGCAGGTAGGAGGGTGTGGGCAGGCAGGTGCTTTTTATGCTGCAAGAAAATCCTCCTGATCCTTTTTACTGATCGTGCAAAGAAAATATTTCCTTGTTCCTGACACTTGGCAGGGCCCATAGTCCTCGGTCAAAAATGTGATCAGCCTTGTTTGGGGAAGACACAAGAGAGGCTGAGACAATGACTGCACTGTTGATCCAGGGTCATTAAGGAGGATAATTTTACCCACTCCCAAGTCTTGTCAATATCTCCCAGCTAGTCCAACACACCCTTACATAACCTGAGTCTGTTTATTTTTTAAGTGAAATACATTTTGCACATTTCTCATGAAAGTCCCTGAACAAAAGAGGCCTTCAGTCAGAACAGGATGGTGAGAACTGCAGAAACTCATGACTCCTATAAATTGGCGGTGGTGTTGTTGCTGTGACGGTCCAGGGACTATGTGAGAAGCAAGATTGGGTTAGTCCAGTGGTTCTCAACCCTTTTAGACACAAGGCATCCCTCAGGAAATATTAGCGCTTCGTTTTCACTCATTTGTTGACTGCAGAAAAGTAATAGAGCAATTTTTTTTCTGCTTAGAACTCAGAAAGACCGTAACAGGTCGGAATGTTTTTAGCATTATGGATTCCTATTTGAAATCCCTGGGTTTACCTTGTGAATCATGGTTGCACACCTAACAGTGCCAACATTGTATGGCATGCTGCATCCCCCTTGAAAGGTTCTCAAGGCACCCCAGGGTGCTACAACACCTGTTTGAGAATTATTGGGTTAGTAAGATCTTCAGGACCAACCGTGGAGCTTGGAGAGAGAGAAGACAATTTTCTGGATGCTAAGGCCCCTTCCTCAGGTCTCGGAAAGAAACAGAGGCATCTTAAACTCAGTGCCAGGGAAAACAGTAGTTTTTGTTTAATCCCCATGATGTGAATGCAGATAATCAATGTAGTACAAGGTTCTCAACTGGAGAAATGTGCAATGCTTTAAAGGGTGATGCAATGCCAACACCTACACGATTCACAAGATAAGCCCAGAGATTTCCAATAGGAATCCATGGTGTCAAAACCATTCTGACTTGCTGTGGGCTTTCTGAGTTTTTTGCAACAGAAGAATGGCTTCCGTATTTTTCTGTAGTCAAGAAATGAGCAAAAGCTAAGAGCTGGCATTTTTTGAGGGTGCCTCAAGTCTACCAAGATAGAGAACCCCTGCTGTTGCACCTTCATGCTACATACAGTGAAATGACAAAGGAGCAGGTTTAAAACAAACCGAAGGAAGGACTTTTTCACCCAGCATCTTATTAACTTGTGGAACTCATTGTTACAAGATGTCACAGAGGCTGATAATGTAGCCAGGTTCAAAAGAAGATTAGATTAATTTGTGCATGATAGTTCCATTAGCGGTATTAAATATGACAGTTAAAGTGCAGGCTCCAAATTAGGCCTCTGAATGCTGGAAGCTGTAGGGGCAGAGTGGCAGGGAACAGCTCAGTCTGGATAGGCCCTGCCTGTGTACGCCTCTCCTGAAGTTCCACTCTCTGCCCCTGTCCCCTTAGCATCTACTGCCTCCCTCTGTCAATAAGATGTGGGACTTGGGTTAGATGGACCTGTGGTCTGACCCAGTAGGACAGGGGTGGCCAACCCATGGCACAGGCAGCCTCTATGTATGGCACTAGCAGATTGGGGAGGGACAGGCAGCATGGCAGTAGAAAACAGTGGCAGATTGGGCAAGGAGCACAGGGCAGGAGGCAGAAAGAGCAGCTGATTGGTCAAGGGAAGGGCACAGGTCTAATTTGTGGCACCCCTGCCTAAAAGGTTGGTCCCTGCTACAGTAGGGCATCTCTTATGTTCTTAGACAGGACAGTGAGCAGTAAAGAACAAAGCAAAGTTATTGCTGGTAGTTACAGACAAAGTCATGAATGGTCAAAAGAGACAAACCTATAAATCTGGTCTCTGCTTGTGAGATCCCCCTAGAGCTCAGGGCTGGGTAAGGGCTCGGCACCCACACTTGGACCCAGATTATCAGACAAGTCAGTGTGCCATTTAGGCCTTTCATAATGCACCAGATTTTCCAAAAGCATCCCAGATGTAATGACTTGGCATCTGGATTTTCCAAATGGCACCATCTCCTTTCAGTGTCTGGTCCCTGGTGGCACAAGTGGACTCAACAAACATCATTGGCCTATACAATATCCTGTTGTTTTGACTTATGGATAAAGCAGGAGGGTGTAGCAGGAGGATGGGAGAGAGGCTAGGACATGGGGAGTCTTACTGGGAAAGTGCATGTCTTTTTAGCCAGGGGTCACTGCGTTGCAAGTGCCCCTGGCTGGGAAGCTGATGACTTCCTTGCCTGGGACTATTTTAGCCTGACAGCTTCCATCTGCTCTATCCTGCAGCAAGAAGGAGGAGGAGGATGACAATGCAGAGACAGAGATCTGGTTGGTACATCTTGTGTGGGATCAGACCAGGACATCAAGGCCATGTTGTCTAGGATTCATTTGTAACAGAGGCAGTTTTGTCCCGTGTGCCTTGTCTGTTCCATTGACTCCTTTTCCAAACAGGGCACCTGATCTATTAAGGGGCCCCACCCATTGCAGCATCAGGCTGTTGGCAGTGCCCTTGTCTCCTTGCTCCTCAACTGTAGCACCTGGTAGGTTCTTTATAGGGTATAACTGGGGTGCCAGAGTGGGTGCTCGTAGGGACCCTTTTGGGGGCAACAAGGATCATCCTTCTGGGCTATCACCCTGCTTATCTGATTCAGCTCATTGCTGCCTCACCTCACGCCCTGCCATGGCTTACCTCTCCAGCTCCTTTAATGTGGAATGAAAAGCTGTGAAGGCCTCCCCTTCAAAGAGAGCCCCTAGGGCACCTTGCAGGGCAAGGGGGAGGCGGGGGGGAGGGGGAGGATCTTACAGGAAGCTGGGTCTGTGTTACCTGCTGCGGGGTCGATTTCAAGCTGAAAGGCCATTAAGGCTGCGTGCACGTGAATGGCAAGGAGGTTGGTAGTCCCACCAGCCTTCATATATAGGTGATCATGTGGTTGGTGGAGCACAGAGGTTTGTTATATCACAGAATCACCTAGCCCAGACCCATGCTCATGTCAGGATCAACCCTGGCTAATCTACCTCAGCCAGCTGTCTGTCTAACCTGCTCTTAACACCTGGCAGGGATGGAGATTTCACTACTTCTCCTGTTCCACCTTCAGAGTTAGGAAGATGCTGGACTGCCCTGCTCAGAGTGGGTGCCCTCCATGTGCCCAAAGGGTCCATAAGAATCCACTTCCAGCCCCCCAGTTATAGAACTCAGAGTTGCAAAGATTTTCCTAATATCCACCCCAAATCTCCCATACTGCAATTTAAGATCAGGAGCCTGTCCTCCTCCTCTCTCTAGCTATCCTTTGGATATTTGTGGGTGTTATCAAATTGCCCTCAGTCTTCTCTTCTCCAGGCTAAATAACCCCAGTTCTTCCAACCTGTTCTCATCAGTTGTATTTCCTCAAATAGTGTCCTTAGCTGTAGCATGTTGCAGGGCAGGTACACGGTGCCTGGTAGGGCTGTTCAGGGTGTGTTGCACACACACATACACATACACACGGTCTCTCTCTGTCTCTTTCACATACACATTCAAACACACTTGCATATTCACACATACTTGCACCCACACACTTTTTGTACACTCACGCTCTCGCACACTATTTAGTTGGTCTAATAAAAGATATTGCATCTACCCAAAGAACCTTGCCTGCCACTCTCGCACACGCATTCTCACACCCATGCATTCCTGTCTGCCCCCAAAGGGCAGCTGTTCCAAGCACCCAGAAAGCAGCTGTAAACCACTTGCAGAGCAGAGAAGTGCCAGAGCTCTGACATCAGCGTGGCTAATGAAGGAGCTGTCACCACTTTTTGTGAGCCGCCTCATGAACAAACCAGTGCACACGGCCCCGGGCTTCCCAGCTGCCCTGCAGAACTACCACGGTGTTGAAGCCTGGGACTTAAAAGCAACCATGAAATAAACAAGCTAACACTCAGTGGACTGGAGGGAAGCACTGGTGAGGAAACAAGTGATAGGTCCTAGGGGGTGGTTACAGCAACAATCTGAAGAATGCCTTGGCATTGTCCTTTAAAGATGCTACATTTAGTTATGCAGTGTTTTCCCAGCAGCTTAAACTGGAATTAACTTCACTGGTGTCTGTGAATTGACACAGGTGTTAAAGAGAAAAGGGAATTGAGGATGGAAGGAGAGACGTGGTCAAAAAATTGTCTTGAAAGGCAGGATCACTGGGTTCTCTCCCTGGCTCTAGCCACTGACTCTCTGCATAACCTTGGGTAAGTTGCTTTCTCTATGAGTGCAGCAGGGCTATTCCTGGCCTGCTGTGCCCCAGAGCTAGGGCGGGGGCACTGAGACTAGGAAGGAGTATGTCTCAAGTGCTTTGAGATTTCCTGGCAGGGCTGTATGATAGGATACATCTGTGGCAGTGGTTCTTAACCTTTTTAGACTTGAGGCAGCCCTCAGAAAATGCCATCTCTTGACTTTCGCTCATTTATTGACTGGAAAAATAGCAGAGCAACTTTTCTGTTGCAAAGCACTCAGGAAGACATTCACAACAGATCAGAATGTTCTTAACACTGCGGATTCCTATTGGAAACCTCTGGGTTTATCTTGTGAATCATGTTTGCATACCTCATGGTGCTAACATTGTGTGGCACCCTTGAAAGGATTTCAAGGCACCCAGTGGTGCTGTGTCACCCTGGTTGAGAATCTCTGGTCTATGGAGATAGATGGCAGGTGTGCTTGCTCTCACCCTCCCCCACTCAGGGCCAGACCTGCAGCCTCTGCTGCCAGGTCAGAATGTGGGGCTGGCTTTCCCTCCATCAGCTCTTCCGCCCCAACAGCCTTGCCTCTTGTCCCTTCCAGCTGTGCAGCGCATTGTGCAGTCCCACCTGGAAAACAGCAGTAACCTGCAAGATGGTGACCATGACAGCTCCGATGGGGAGACTGAAGACAGCAATCCACATGACCCAGAGGATGCCGAAATTGAGGGCCCTGGCCTGTTTGACCTGGAGAGCAGCAATGATTCTGGTAAGAGTTAAATGAGGCATGAGTATGCATTGGGAGGGGGGCAGAAAGCACCAAACCGCTATTGCAAATGCCTGGGGGTGGGGAGAAACGTGGGCAGGTATTCCCTGCACCAGAAAGCCTCTTGCCCCCTAGTGGCAGCAAGGTGTGCTATAGCCTCCAATCTGTATCTGTCTGTCAGCGGATCAGGAAAATAGGGCTGGGAGGGACCTGACAAGGTCATCTAGTCCAGTTTTGGCGGTCAATGGCTCTGGAGAAGATGGAGAGTGGTGCAAATCATGAGACAAGCTCAGATCAGTAGGTCTTCCCCATGCATAAGGATAGAGGGGGTGAGGAAGCAGTGTGATTTTGGACTGTGAGGACAGGCCTAGGAACCAGTAGTAAGCCCTGAGTTCTAGTCCTGGCTCTGGTAAGACTAAAGCTGAGTTTCAACTGGACATGGGTGACTTACCTTGCAGGGGAAACACCGTGACCACAAAGGTGGTTTTCCTAGTCGCACCTGGGGAAAACTGCTCTCCTGGCACAGGGTAGTACCCATGGAGGTAATGTATAGCTAACCTCCCACTTTCACTTCCAGTGGGAAGATCTTGGCTTTATGCTCACTTTATGGAAATGGGAGACTCCTCCCTAGCTTGCTCCTGGGGCCTTATGGCTAAGGGCAAACGAAACTTGGGGGCATCTGAACCTCAAGCCTCTGGGCTTGGGCCTGCACATAGGATGCCTGCCAAAAGATTTGGAAACATCTAGAGCCCGAGGTGGGATGGAGGATGTTTGCTAGTTGTAGGGTCACTTATGGTTCTTGATGGACTCACGGATTTGGAATTGATTTGTCCTGGAACACAACAAATTTTCATTAAAAAAGCAAAAACAAAAACAAAAAACTGGACCCGGGTAACTGATTCATTGCAAATAATGTGCCCGGCAAGTATAGTCAACTGCTGAGAAGGCCTTACAACATTCGACTAACTCTCATTTACCCAGGAGGCTGGGACTCAGGAGGTCTGCGTTCCCTCCTTAGCTTCCCCATGGACTTCCTGAGTGACCTTAGGGCAGGCCAGCTCCCTGCCTC